TGGCTGCAGAGTCTGTGCTTTTAAACGTAGACCAGCGGTTCTCAAACTGAGCATGCATCCACATCAGCTGGAGGGCTTGATGAACCATGGATGGCTGGGCCCAGCCCCAGAGCTTCTGAGTCAGTATTGTGAGGTAGGGCCTGAAAATCTGCATTTCAAGTAGGTTCCCAGGGTATGCTGCTGCTGCTGCTGCTTCCGGAACCAGACTCAAGAATGACTGCTCAATATAATTGACTTTGAATGTGACTTCACTATAGTACATAAGATGGAAGAGAGGAGGGACTTTCAAATGTACTGGAATAGTAATGATATTAAGAACCACGTATGTCACTCTTGCTATTTATTTATTTAATATTTATTTATTTATTGGCTGTGTCAGGTCTTAGTTGTGGCACATGGGATCTTTCGTTGCAGTGGGCAAGCCTCTCTCTAGTTGTGGCCAATGGGCTCCAGAGTGCACGGGCTCAGTAGTTGCAGCACCCGGGCTTAGTTGCCCCGCGGCATGTGGGATCTTAGTTCCCCAACCAGGGATCAAATGGGCGTCCCCTGCATTGCAAGACGGATTCTTAACCACTGGGCCACCAGGGAAGTCCCACTCTTGCTACTTAAGAAGATAGAGAACAGAGGAGTAGAAAGAGGGAGGGAAAAATTTAACATTTACTGGATATCTCCTATATACTAGGCCTGTGCTAGGCAGGTCATATAAACTTCATACAAGAGAATGAAGTAGGCTCTGATATCTCCAATCTTACAGAAGAGAAAACTGAGGCCGAGAAAGGTAAAGCCACTCATCCAAAGTCACACAGCAGGCATAACTAAGATGGAAAGAGAATTCAGGTTTTTCTATCCTTGTGTTTTTTTCTCTAAGTCATCTTGGAAATATGGTCTCTGAGGGCATTTGGAGAGAAAATGTCAAAATGGTAGAAAACTGAAATCCTGGGCTGCTGTTCAGTGCAGGGCATGGGACTGTCCTGAAGAGGGAGAAAGTAGTGGGACTTCCCTGGTGGTCCAGTGGTTAAGATTTCGCACTTCCACTGCAGGGGGGCGTGGGTTCAATCCCTGGTCAGGGAACTAAGATCCCACAAGCTGCATGCATGGCACAAGAAAAAAAAGGCTCCAACTGAGGATGACTTTTCAAATAAAATCCCTGCTCTTGTTTGTAAAGCTTCCTGTATTCCCCACCTGCTGCTCCACTGTATTGGGGCTCCTCCCCAACTTCCCCTGTGGTGCTCACATACCCCTGTGGTCTGCGGAACACACCTGGCCCCAGAGCCTCTGCATCGCACATTCCTGGGGGGACCACTCCCAGCGCCGTGCTAGGGGAGTCCACCTCTGCTCTGGCCCGTGGCCCCTGGCAGGCATCCTACCAGGACGGTCAGATAAGGCTTTGATCCTGTGTCTGGAGTAGTCTTCCTTTCAACCACTCCAAAGCCTGGCAGTCTGGCCCAGATGAGAAAAAAGAGGGTAGTCATCTTAGTTATGTGGAGACCAAGGAGTGATGTTCAGCTCCCTGAGCCTGTTGCTTCTTCTCGAAAGTGAAAAGATAATGAACAATGTGTGTTTTGACAATGGCGGTGGTGGCTATGAATGCCTGAGAGGTTTCGGTGAGAACAGAGGTGTCACCACTTTGTAAACTGTGATGCCAATGTGAGCAGTTGATCCCTTTGATGGTGGCTCTTCTCCAACCACAGATGTGTTCCGTTCACAGGCTTGATCCAGATGCAAAGTGTGAAAGTGAAAACGTTACGTTTTTGATGGAACCTTCACCAAGGGGTCTCTGCTGGGCCCCACCAGAGATTCTGATTCATTGGTTTTCGGGTAAAGCTCATGACTTTGCCTTTCTAACCAGCTCCCAGGGAAGGCGGATGGGAGGGGCTGATCAGATGGCTCTGTGTCGAGGTATGCTATGATAGAGACCAAATCAGACTCCCCAGGCTCAGCCTGTTATCTAAATAATAATCACCCTGAGATCTTTTGAAATGCCTATTCAGGGACCGCTTCTCCCTCTGGTGTGACTTGTTAGATTGCGATTTGTTAAACCTTCATGTTTAACAACTTGCCCAGGTGATTCTGACAGAGATTGGAGAGCAAATGCAGAGCAACACTGACTTACCTTTGTCAGGCAATCAGATGTTACGTGGTTGTACATTCATAGCACCCAAAGCAGAATGCCAAGAAATTCTGCACGTGCGGTCACAAGCAAAGCTCCACTCCTTCTTTCTGAGGCCCAGAGCGAATCATGTCACCCTCCTGCTTGAGCCACTGATTATTTGGTGCTAACAAATCCCGAGTGGAGCAGTGATGGTTTTCCCAGGCCAGACCCAGGCTACGTTTTCAAGCCTTTCCTCTACCTGACATGCGTCACATGCTTGAGCCAATCTAAACTGTTTTACTTACCCCTAAAAAGAGCCTCCTGTGTTGTTTTTCATGTTTCACATGTCCAGTTGCTTGCTGAAGAACGGAGACCAAGGGCAGCTCATGAAGGCTGCACCTCAGCTAAGCTTTGAACAGTAGTGTGATTTAGGGCAGGAAGAGGTGGGGATCAGTGCACGAGGACTCTCATCTGCCAGAAGCAACAGCTTGAGGAGACTTGGGAAGAAAGGGCAGGCTGCAACGCAGGTCATGTGGTGGTGGCCAATGAGCCCGGAAAGCCAGGCTGCGGCTAAATGAGGAAGAGCCTCCAGTGGTCGTCTCTGTTTATGAGCCACGTGGCAGCAGCACACAAACGCACTCCTTGCCCTGAACCTAAAAGGATCAAAGTCCAGTGACGATAGAGGGATGAAAAACTTAATATGCTACCACAGGAAAGAAAGAGATGAATTAATACTCAAAGGGGAGGCAATGTGGAAATTAAAATATGTAACCTGTATCTTTTTATTTTTATAAATTTATTTCTTTATTTTTGGCTGTGCTGCGTCTTCGTTGCTGTGCGCGGGCTTTCTCTAGTTGCAGAGAGTGGGGGGCTACTCTTCATTGCAGTGCGTGGGCTTCTCACTGCGGTGGCTTCTTGTTGTGGAGCATGGGCTGTAGGCTTGCGGGCTCAGTAGTGTGGCTCACGGGCTCTAGAGCGCAGGATCGGTAGTTATAGCGCACAGGCTTAGTTGTCTATGGCACGTGGGATCTTCCCGGACCAGGGCTGGAACCCGTGTCCCCTGCACTGGCAGGTGGATTCTTTACTACTGTGCCACCAGGGAAGTCCCCCGTAACCTGTATCTTGATTTAATTTTTGATCACCCACACACTCCTTACAGCCACCTCAAACTGCAGTGGTTACCCTGACACCTCTGAAGGTGCATTTGCCAGCCCTGATTTCCCAGACTTGACTTACTGGGTGTGCCACATACAAGGGCAGAAAAGTTACAAGAAAAAAAAGACTTAATAGAGATTTTGTACATACTGTGGTCTGTTCCTCCTATCTGAGCAAATTCAGGCAGTATTTTCTTAGGTGATAATAATTTTAATAAAGCAATTACATATACATATGTATAGCAATTTGTAAGTATCAGAAAATCAATACCTATGAATCTCTAATATATATAAAATATAATTTAGGTTTTTATTAACATGGAGAAATTAAGAAATGGGTGATCAGGAATTAAAGCTCATCTGAATTATTTCTACTACTATAATCATGAATATTGTATTTATTTTAATTACTTTAGAAAACATAACATATGTGTTCTAGTTATAATTATATTAAAGCAATTTGTGAATCAAAGAACAGACCACAATAATCAGAAATTGTATAAACTATTTTTTTTTTTTTTAGAAATTGTATAAACTATTAATGAAAGGGTTCAGCTTTAAATGAGACACATTTCTCCTGAGTGCTGAAAGAAATGCTACCTAATGGCTACATATGTTGTTAATAAATTAGGAAAAGACTGATAAAAGTAATATACAAGCCCTCGTGTCCCTAAGGTCAGAGTGATTAATAAATGACCACACTTTATATTAGTTTTCACTTCAAAGAACTAAATTCATCAAAATACAACATACTAAATGAGTGTAAACCATCCTTTTTCATCTTAAATATTAGATGGAAAAAAATATTTTTATTTGTTTAAGACAAGTACTTTCCAGAGTGGATGCATTTATTTTTCAGATGCAAATATATCACCTTACAACACATATACAATAGGTATAATTTCTGAAAATCATGTCTGCCAGAGAGAACTGCAATCTCCTTGATTCATATGCCTTAATCCTTCAATGCAGAACCTCAGCATTTCACACTTTAATCGGAAAAGGGCTCTGGAAAGAAGAACCTGTATCAGCTCAGAAAAGGAGAGAATTCCTTCTCCTTTCTGAGTTGATGGAGATCAAACAAGATGACTTCTCTCATTTTACATCAAACATAGAATCTAAAGTAATAATCCTAACAAAGAATAGGTCAGTTCTAAGTTTTACTTTTCTATCCATAACTACAGTGTGACAGAACACAAAATTAATGGCCCCAATGTAAACCAATTTTACACATGCCAAATATCACATCTAATTTTTTATCTGAAATAAACAATAAAAAAGGTAATATGGTGATCTGATTAAAGGTTGCAAGTCCTAAGTACCCAGTTTTCTAAGATCAATTAGAAAAAGAAAAAATATCAATCAAGTATTCTAAGCATTTTGTATACCCGTAAAACATAAGGTCTTTCTAAAAATTAAGAGTATTCCAATCAAACACATATAAACTACCAACGAATGAAAAGCATTAGAAATCCTTAAAAAATCTGAACACTTTAAGCAACCCAGAGGTATATGTGAATTTCTTATAAAAGTGAAAAATATGGAAAACAAAAAAAATTTTGACCCTATCATGTTAACTCTTAGTGTACAGGATGAGATTTACAGTAACAGTCAGTTAAAATGAACACTGAGATTGCTTTACGTAAGTAAATGGTGATCCTCAAATGACATTAAATAGTTGCTTTGACTTTTGGGGGTTTGGATTTGTAATAAATATGTAATAAATATCTGTAGTACTTTGAACATGTTCAGTGCTATCTTTCTCCATTTGAAAGTCTTTCTCCAGAGTCATAATGTCTTAGAGGCATGCCAGAGGGTGGGGAGTTGGGACTTTGCAGCAAGTCCACTAACAAAGCAATCTTATTATCTATGTGCTCCTGGAGTTTATATATTCGCTGATCAATGTAGTCCGTAAGTTTCTTTTCCATCAGTTCCATATTTTTAGAAAGAATCTTTTCCAAGTAGGAACAAATGGATTGCTCTTCCATTCTAAAAGTAAATTTAAAAAATAATAATGTAACAATTTTCCCTAATATTATAACAAAAACAACCAAACTATAGTACGATAAAGCAGCCAACACACATTGCTGAAATTTGTCTCCACAACTATACTGTCTCCATACAACACATTTCCAGCTTCTAAAATACACACTCAACAGGTGACCACAATCCTGAATGCCCAAAGCATTCTTACCTCTTCAATTCTTTAAACATTTAAGCATACAATTGAAATGAGAATATAAAAATGATGATGGAATTTCTACCCTCAAAGAATGGCTCTTTAGAAAGGGTCCTTTTGATTTTGAGCTCCAAATCTAAAGTAATCTTGCAAGATTTTTTTAAGGTTTTCCAAGTACTTCCCCAAGTAACTGTACAATGTAAATAGTTTTTTTCTTTTTTAATCCACACAACTTTATTAAATTACTGGAAGCTTCTATGAACAACTGTGTACAGGCTTTTGTGCGGACAGATGTTTTCATTTCTCTGGGATGAATGCCCAGGAGCACAACTGTACATTTAGTTATTAGAAACTGCCAAAATATTTTTTAGGGTGGCTGTACCATTTTAAAACCTCACAGGATTTAAAATGAGATCCAGTTTCTCCACATCCTCATCAGTATTTGCTGTCGTTACCACTTTTAAACTTTTTATTTTAGCCATTTAAATAACTGTATAGTGGTATATTGTGGTTTTAATATGCGTTTCCTTAATAGCCATGAGGTCAGTCACACATCTTTTCTTTTGTTTTGTTTTTTCTTTTTTGCGGTACGCGGGCCTCTCACTGTTGTGGCCTCTCCCGTTGCGGAGCACAGGCTCCGGACGCGCAGGCTCAGCGGCCATGGCTCACGGGCCCAGCCGCTCCACGGCATGTGGGATCTCCCCGGACCGAGTCACGAACCCGTGTCCCCTGCATCGGCAGGCAGACTCTCAACCACTGCGCCACCAGGGAAGCCCAGTCACACATCTTTTCATTTGCTTATTTGCTTTTTGTACATCCTCTCTGATAAAATGTCTCTTTATGTCTTCTGCCCATGTTCTAATTGGATTTTTTTAACGTTCAGTTTTGACAGTTCTTTCTATATTTTAGATACGTCATTTGTTGGATACGTAATTTGCCAGTATTTTTCCCCACTTTGTAATTTGTATTTTATTCCTCTTAACAGAGTCGTTCACAGGGCAAAAGTATTACATTTTCATGGCATCCAATATATATAATTTTCTATTACCTTGCTTTTGGTGTTATATCTAAGAAGTCTTGTCTTAGGTCCCCAAAGATTGTCCCCTATGTATTATTAGAAAAGTTTTATAGCTTTATGTTTTACATTTAAGTCTATGATCCATTTTTTTTTTTTTTTGTGGTACGCGGGCCTCTCACTGTCGTGGCCTCTCCCGCTGCGGAGCACAGGCTCCGGATGCGCAGGCTCAGCGGCCATGGCTCAGCTCATGGGCCCAGCCACTCTGTGGCATGTAGGATCTTCCCGGACCGGGGCACAAACCCGTGTCCCCTGCATCGGCAGGCAGACTCTCAACCACTGCGCCACCAGGGAAGCCCTACGATCCACTTTGAGTTAATTTTTGTATAAGGTATGAGGTTTGGGTCATGGTTCACTTTTTACCCTTTGGATATCGAATTGCTCCAGCACCATGTGTTAAAAAGACTATTCTTCCTTTATTGAATTGCTGTTGCACCTCTGTCAAAAATCAGTTGAGCATATTCGTGTGGGTCTATTTCTCTTCATTTAATCTAATTATTTATTTTATTTTTGGCTGAGTTGGGTCTTCATTGCTCCACGCGGGCTTTCTCTAATTGCGGTGAGCGGGGGCTACTCTTTGTTGCAGTGCGTGGGCTTCTCATTGCAATGGCTTTTCTTGTTGCAGAGCACGGACTCTAGGCACGTGGGCTTCAGTAGTTGTGGCACACAGGCTCAGTAGTTGTGGCTTGCAGGCTATAGAGCACAGGCTCAGTAGTTGTGGTGCATGGGCTTAGTTGCTCCATGGCATGTGGGATAGTCCTGGACCAGGGCTTGAATCCGTGTCCCCTGCATCGGCAGGAAGATTCTTAACCACTGCACCACCAGGGAAGTCCATGTGTGGGTCTATTTCTGGGCTCTCTATTACGTTCCACTGACCTATGTGTCTGTCCCTCTGCCGTCACTACATCATCTTGAATACTTTCACTACATAAGACTCAACACTGGGAAGAGTGATTCCTCCCACTTCATTCGTCTTTTTTTTTTTAATAAATTTATTTTATTTTATTTATTTACTTTTGGCTGCGTTGGGTCTTCGTTGCTGCACGTAGGCTTCTCTCTGGTTGTGGCGAGTGGGGGCTACTCTTCGTCGCAGTGCGCAGGCTTCTCGTTGCAGTGGCTTCTCTTGTTGCGGAGCACGGGCTCTAGGTGCATGGGCTTCAGTAGTTGCGGCACAGAGGCTTCAGTAGTTGCGGCACACAGGCTTCAGTAGTTGCGGCACACGGGCTTCAGTAGTTGTGGCACATGGGCTTCAGTAGTTGCGGCACACAGGCTTCAGTAGTTGCAGCACACGGGCTTAGCTGCTCCGCGGCATGTGGGATTTTCCCGGACCAGGGCTCAAGCCCGTGTCCCCTGCATTGGTAGGCGGATTCTTAACCACTTTGCTACCAGGGAAGCCCTCATTCTTCTTTTTCAAAGTTGTTTTAGCTATTCTACCTCTTTTGCTTTTCATATAATTTTTAAAATAATCCTGTCTATGTCTACAAAGTATTGTGATGGAACTTCAGTATGCATTACATTAAGTCTCCATATCAATGGGGAGAACTGACAACTTTACTATGTATGAAATTGAATTTGTAATTTAAAAGTTCCCAGGAAAGAAATATCCACGCCCAGCTGGTTTCCTTAGAGACTTCTACCAAAAAGTAGTAGTTAAGCTAATACTAATTTTACACAATCTCTTCTAACATGAAACTCATTTTATGACGCCAGTATTACGCTCATAGAAAGCCAGGCAAAGACAGTACAGGAAAAATACAGACCAGTATCTTTAATGAATTAGATGCAAGAATACTCAAGAAAATATTAGCCAATCAGATCCAGCATTGTGTAAGGAAGAATTACAGCCCACAACTAAGTGGGATTTATTCTAGGTATACAAAGCAGGTTCAGTTTTTGAAATTAATGTAATTCACCATATGAAAGACTACAGAAGAAAATTCATGATCATATGAATGGCCATAGGAAAAATATTTGACAAAATCCTATACCCATCTATGATGAAAGAAACTCTCAGGTAACTAGGAACCAAGGAACACTAAGCCTCACAGTCCCTGAGCAATCTGACTTCTTTTCACCTTTTACAGTCTTTGTATGTTTGCTGTATTATGTCCAGGGATTTTATTGGTAAAGTGGGGGATATAAGAGAAATGCGGACATTCCATCTCAGCTGGACCCAGAAGCAGTTTTTAAATATTTAGGTTTTTTTCATTTGGGTTTTATTGTTTGTTTGTTTTGTTTTGCCATATCACAAGTTAACACTGATGTAGACTATCAACTATTAAAGACTATTGTTATCCTTCCTTGTCCTGCCCAAGTAAGAACCACTTTTTTTTCAATAACTTATTAAACTCCTCAAATTTCAATGCTATTAGAGACATTAAAATTTCAACCAATACAACTCCCTCATTTTACATGGGAAAAAAGTCTAAACTGAAAGATTTAAACACTAAGGCAAAAGAGTTAAGCTCGAACTATGATTAGAGTCCTGAATTCAAATGTAGTGTGAAATTTGCACACATTGCATCTATATAAAGGATGGGGAACATACTAAACACTTAGCCACCCCTCAATCAAAGCAGGACTGGAAAAAATTGGAATTATGAGACCGGGGATAAGGGCCTGAACACTAGAAATAATTCAGAGCTGAAAAATGTTTGGATGACTCCGAAATTAGCCTAGGTCACACACGATCTACAGAGGAAATCTGTTACAATGGCTCCCTTCACACAATCAGGCAAAAAATGTACATATCATGGTCACCACAGCTCCTCTCCATTCATGCAGACAACTCTCTACTCTGACCCTAGCTGCTGCTTGTACCCCTTCCATCAGATGCCTGAGAAGTGCTCGGCACCTCCAGTTTTACCCACTTCTTTCAAAGCAATCCATCCTACTCTGCTGAGTATTTCTTTCCTATAGTGTGTTAATGGAGAAATGTAAAAGCCCCTAAAATCCTCTCTGGAAACATTTTCAGGCAGTAGTTATTGAAACAAACCTGTTTTCCTCCACCTGCCTCCCCCTCCCGCCCTCAATCTAAACCACACTTGTCTTAAATACTCACGTGACACCAACAGTGCCTTCGCCGGGCTTACTGATGCTTTCCTGCCACTTGGTGTTGGGTCCCACATGGAGACGGTTCACTTGACTACACAGAGTCTGCAGAACAGGCAGCAACTCAGAGTTGGATACATGAGAGTTGTCACTTGCTTTCTTTGGTAACAAAGAAGATACTGCATTCTTAAGATCATTCTCAGGAAGAGAATGGTTTTGTGGCACAATTTTACACTCTTGGAGGCTTGTCACATTTCCTCCACCAGCTGGCTGCGTACTTTTATCAATGTAAGCTTTTAAGTCTTCAGCCACGTTTCCAGATGTCAATCCAGTCCTGGAAGGGAAAGGCGTGGGGGATGACTTGTTGAAGGCCCCTGAAGCAGATGATGATTGCAGTCCGATCATGTGCTTGAATCCAGTGCTTCCCAAAACTGACTGAAGCTGCTCTCTGATGGGAATACAATTCTAAGCAAGGTAAATAAGAAAATGTTATTAACATGAATGATAATGGAGTAACTCAGAGTCACGCAACGTGCCTTCTTTCATTTGATCCCCAGAACTTTCACATGGAGTAGGCTATAGGTACTATCCCAATATTAAGTTAGGAAACCAAGACTAAAGTTAACTTGGCCAAGGTAACACAACTGGTCAGTGGCAGAAGCAGGACTGGAACCCAGGCCACCGAACTCCAGAGTCAGGACTTCTAATCGTTTCACTAGTTTTGCTAAGGAAAATATTCAAATAAATACAAGCATACTTAGTAAAATTGCATGGGCATATTTTAATGTTTCCACTACAAAGGCCTCCTTAATATATAGTAATAAAATGTAGTATTCTCAGCTGAGTCACAGTAATTGATAACTTTCATAGAATTAAAAATCATCTGCCCATCGTCACATATGGTAAGCCAACCTAAGGATATGCAACTTATTTTCATTGGAAGATAGACCAGATAGTTACATATTTAAAGTATGATGTTATATGAGTACTTCCATGACATTTTCAATGACTAAAACGAGCTACCTTTTGGCTAAGGCTGCCTTAATAATCTGTAGAGTAATGATTATGTTTTGTGGCCTCAACTCAACCGGCTCTGCTATAGGATGTCCCAAGAAGACTCAGCTCACCTTTGAGAGCAGGTCACACTGTCTCCTATGCAGGGCCATGCTCTTGCTATGCTCTTCAACTTTTCCACAAGAGAAAAGCAAAACTACCTCTAGCCTATCTAACTGTTAAGTTATACACCTCCATCCTAAATTCTAAACACAGAGCTCTACTAGGGATTCTTATAGGGGATATCATCTCATACTTACTGTTGCTCAGTATCTAGTGAGAGAGACTGAGAAAATTCCACAAGATTAGGTGAAGACCCTCAGTCCGTATATTTTCTGGATATTCTAAAAAATGATTCCTGGATTAAGCCAGCCCCAAACTCATTCATTCAACAAATATTTACCAGAAATCTGCTCTGTGTTAGGTACTATCTCAGTCACTGGTAATAAGCCAGTGAACAAAACAAATGAAAATTGCCGATCTGTGGACACTACAATCTAGGGAGCAGGGAGAGACAAACAACAAAGAAAAAAAGAAAGAAAGACAATACATCCTGTGAATAGAGGTGGTGATAAATACTTTAGAGAAAATATAGCAGGACAGGGGAATGACGGGAGCAGGGACGTTGGTAGGGTGGGAACAACAAAGGCCCCACGGAACTTCTACTGAACTGCCTGATGGAGAAACTCTCTTTATAAAGAAATCTTACCTTCTTCTATTGAATGCTAGTTTTGAAAAAATCTTAAATTATTCCTAAAAATGAGGATTATATACAAGTATATTTACAAAATTTAAAAAATTACACAACTCTCCTTAGGTGAAAAGGAGCTTTACTCAGTCATAAAGGAAAAACTCAATTATTTTTGGTAGTGGCAAAATTCTGGTACTGCAAAAAAACTTTTTGACAAAAAATGGAAAATTCTACAGAACAGCAATCACATAAATAGTGGGATCAATGTCAAAATTGTACACGAAAATTAATTTGGAAGAAATTTTAATTAAAAAATCCAAATGCAATTAAGACATATGCTATATGAGTTTTTCTATTCTGATATACAGTAATATTTTATTATAATAAATTCACTGATTATAAAAATTAGTCATATTTTTCTCAGATAAAAGCTCTTATGCTGATTATTTTTCACTTTGAATTAAATGTTAAGAAATTCACAGGTTAATCTATATGGCAGTGCAGTAAATGACCCAACCTTAGTTGCTGATGACTATTCTTCTGCTTCTTTTGTTTGACTTTATTCAATTCTTAATTTTCTTAAGCTGTCGTATGTTGTCTTGCAAGGCACCTCAAACCCTTTTAAAAGTAGGCAGAAGAATATGTATAAAACAATTCATATGTACTTACTGTTTAGGGTCCGTGTCATATTTTATGTGAAAAAAAAAATTACAGAGCCGCCTAAAAAAACATGAAAGCATTTATGTAGAATTGTGTCCACATACTTGTACATGTGTATACTTAATTTCATATATGTACACATATACCCCCGGATTTTTGAAAAACTGTTTATCTCTGAACACCTTGTAGGATTTCTCAAGACACTGTCTTTAACTTTTTTAATTATAAAGAATTTGAACAAGTATCACCTTGAAAATGCAAGAAAAAAGATCTTTTTACTTTTTTAAGACGAAAAAGGTAAACAGTGAAATCCTTGAATAACTGAATATATTTTGAGAAAGTCGGGCACAGCTTTCCCTCAGATAACATTAAATGACAACTATATGCCAGGCACTTTGATTCAGAATTCCTACTCAATTATTCTAAATGGCTAAAGCAAAAACAAATGAAAGTCAGCACATGTGAACTTCAAATACAAGGAAATAAGAAATCACTTTAAGAAACTTTCCAGGAAACAAGGAACCACAAGGCAAAGGTGAAGCAGGGAGTCTAGAAAGCTGCTCCCCAGGTCCTTTCTTTCCTCATCAGGACAGGCCCTGCCCCAATTAACATATGAAGGTTCCAAACAGTGTGGGTTTACACCCCCTCCATAGAAGGAGAGGTTCTGATCATAAAACATCCCTACTTTATACTCAACAGATAGTTACAGAGCTCATATGACACTTTCCAGGAAGACGTTCCATGGATTCCTTGTTAGTGGACAAAAGCAATCCTAGAGAACCAGGTATATACTGTGAGAATCATTCATAAATATAGCCTCCCCACAAGAAAGAAGACTTTTATTAGCATGTTTAAAAGATGACTCAACAGGATCACCTTCTTTCTTCCCCAGGGGGTTTCCCAAATGTCCCCATAGATAATGATTTAGCACGTGTGTTGAGCGGTTACAACACACGTGCTGTTGGTTGAAGGACTTGTGTTTCTACATGATAGAAAATGCGACAAGGACACACACCAAGCTTGGGAATAGGATGAGAGTTGGGAGAGCACTCTTACAATATACCTTATGTACTTGTGAATGGATGGAAATTCATAGCAAAGAAAATGTATTATTTTGGGAATTAAACAAAAAACCCTAAAAAACATGGGCAAAAAACCCCACAAACTACTATTCATGTCATTTCTTTTCCAAAGTCAAGGTTTGAAAACATAAAAATCAGTCCATGATCTGATTTTACTTAATTCATTAACCCTCTCTAATGTTTCCAAAATTTTCCACACACAAAAAATTTCTTCTGTTTTTAAATGTTTAATCTCTATGTCCACTGGATCCTTCCCCTCAAACATCTGTTCTTAAAATATGTTATGCATAAGACTCATCTGGCATTGCCTGTATAAGATAGGTGAGTCCTGGATCACAACCTCAGTGTTCCAGGTCACTGGTGAGGGCCAGAATTCTGCACTTTATAAACATTCCAAGGGATTCTGATACCGGCAGGTTCCTTATCTCTATCATTCTTGAAACAACCCACTTTACCCCGGCTACCTCCACATTCGGACTACCCATTTACTATCTAATCCCTCAAAATGTGGTTTCCATCTCATCACTATTCAAACTGACCCCCTGAAGATCTCCAAGGAGTATTTAGTTGATAATCCAAAGGGCATATATATTATATAAAATTTACTCGGAGCCATAAACTAGACAGACAGGTCCTCTTTGCACAAAGCTTATATCTTAATGAGATACACAGAACAACATATAAACAAAAACAGGCAAGAAAGCGCTGATGAAAATATATGATACAGATTTGGAGGAAAAGGCTAATATTTTAATCAGGTTGGTTAGGGAAGGTGTCATTCAAGATGGAACGTTTACGATGAGGTTGAAATAACAAGAAAAAGGCAGACTTGCTAAGACCAGGAAGGATTCTGGCCAAAGAGAACAGTTAAGAGGGCAAAGGTCCTGAGGTGGGAGCACGTCTGGATGTTTGTGGAATACCCACATCAGAATGTCTAGAGCAAGGCATCTAAGGAGATGCAGCAGAAGATGAGGCTGAGGAGGTAACGAGGACCCAGATCTCAGATGAGAGCGTAAGGAACATGGATTAGTTCTGAGTGTCAAGGGAAGCAGTCAGGGGGCTTGACACAGGGGACGTCGAGTCTGATGAGGTCATGCTGGCTGCACTGTGGAGAGGGAGCGTGGTGCAGGAGGACCAGCTAGGGGCCTCCTGAGGTATGGAGGTGCGATACTAGTGCCAGAGCAAGGAGAGTATGGACGCTGTTCATTTTACAGCTCTCCTCGCCATGCTTTCCAAGATCATCAGCAACTCTCCTGCTCTCCTATGTCTGCCTGTTGGTCCAACGATACTCGTCCCAAATTAATATTGGCAAATCTCACAAAAGTTATGCAAGTTTTTAAACTCATATTATTGGTTTTAAACTTTCATCCTATGATCTTACCAGTATTATCGTTTAGATTGTAAACACAAAGAAATTTATCCTCAAAACGAGGAAGTGATGCCAAATAACACAGAACTAAGAGCTTTGAATTCAGGTCTCCTGACATCAGATCTCTTGCGACTCTTAAGCACTGCTGTGTCCTGCTCTTCTGGTTCCTTTTTCCTCTCCCCGTATTCTTAGCAAACGCACCTACTCTCCCAGGGTCTTCCTTCCTGACTCCGGTCTCTCCCCTCACCCCCTTCCCCAGCATCTACTAGGCATGCTCCTCCCAAACCTCCCTCCACTCCACAGCCCCACCTGTGTTTCCAAAGCCTCACATCATCATCCCAGGGCATGTGTTATTCACATCTAAAACTCAACACTCTCAAATTAAACTCCTTTCCCCCAAGTCGCTTCCCCCCTTGGGTTCCATGTATATTATGGTATCACCATTTTCAAAACTTTAGTTTCACGTCTGATTCTGTTTTTCTCCCACAGAACCCGTATTAAGTTAGTTGTCACGTCCCAATGGCCCCACTGTTGCAGCATCTCGCAATCCAGCATCAGGTTACTCCTTCCGAGCTCAGGCTCTCATTAACTCTCCTGCGGATGATGGAAATAACAGAGCTGCTTTCCTTCTTGTAGCCTCACTTTCTGTTGACGCATCTTTGCTACTGACTCATCTTACACATAATAGCGGATTAAATTTATTAAAACAGAGCTAAAAAACACCCACAAACTCTATAACATCATTCAAAGTCCTCTGAGATCCAGCCCCAGAGTCTACCTGAAACTTCCCGTCACTTCTTCACTCCAGAGAAATGAGCTTCTCTTCATTTCCTGGCTACATCCTATTCCTCTAGCACTGAAGATTTAATGCATACTGTTCTCTGTCTCTCAAGTTGCATCCCTCCACGTTTCCTTGCCTAATCCCACCCTCTTCCTCCTTAAAAGCCTACATGAAACGCTACTTCCAGTAATAAGCCTCTCGTAGCATCCCTCATCATTCCCCACTTAGATGCCCTGACTCCCCTAACAAGACTACAAATAAAGATCCTTAAAGACAGGCTGATCTTTGAATCTTCGAAAGTTAACCAAAACAGTGTCTTATACTTCGAGAAGGAGCTTAATAAATGCTTGCTGAATGAATGAGCAAGAGAATTCACGGAGAACTGTGAAGTCTGTACCAAAAACATTTTTTTTGCAAGATGCTATTTTTACGTAAGTCAGTAAAGGTAACAGTCAAATCAATAATAAAAGTTGAGGGACTTCCCTAGTGGTGCAGTGGTTAAGAATCCGCCTGCCGATGCCAGGGACACAGGTTCGAGCCCTGGTCCAGGAAGATCCCACACGCCACAGAGCAACTAAGCCCGTGCGCCACAACCACTGAGCCTACACTCTACAGCCCACAAACCACAACTACTGAGCCCGCATGCCACAACTACTGAAGTCCCCATGCCTAGAGCCCGCACTCCACAACAAGAGAGGCCACCACAATGAGAGGCCGAGCAGCGCAATGAAGAGTGGCCTGTGCTCGCTGCAACTAGAGAAAGCCCACGCACAGCAATGAAGACCCAACACAGCCAAAAGTAATTAATTAATTAATTAATTAATTAACTTATTTTAAAAAATACAAAATTTAAAAACTAAAAAAAAAAAAGAATTCCGAACCAAAATAAATTGTTAAAAATAATAGAAGTTGAAAGGAAAAAAATTTATGTCACCACATGTCTTTGTAAGAATCCATTATTGAAAGAATTTTAATGGTATTTGGAAAGAAAGCCATTTCTACTCACCTGCTGTTGGAATCTAACCATATTCATCAGTTGCTGAGCTCCAGGTGATAACTTTGACCCCAAGGACTCCATGATGGTTTGGACCCTCTCCAGGTCTATCCTTGATCCTAGAGCAGGACAGCCTGCTGAAGAATTTGCCGAAACTGGCCTCATGTGTACCACAACTTTACTGATGAACACACACTGCTTTTCACCAAAGGAGAGCAACTAATATAAAACAAAAGTTCAGGAAAATTAATAATGATAATAAAAACAATCATTATTTAAGGTCACTTCTTGTTAATACTGCAGTAAGACTGAAGCATTCAAGAATCTGAAAATTAACTTCAAGTACATTTTTAAGTTTTCTCTAGTCATAGTCAGAAAAAGGCTAAAAAGTACTACATGAATTTAAAAAGTCTTACTGCAACTAAAAAATTAAGTGTAAATAACGTTTTACTTAATAATTTAAGGAATTGGGCTTCCCTGGTGGCGCAGTGGTTGGGAGTCTGCCTGCCGATGCAGGGGATGAGGGTTCGTGCCCCGGTCCGGGAGGATCCCGCGTGCCGCGGAGCAGCTGGGCCCGTGAGCCGTGGCCGCTGGGCCTGCGCGTCCGGAGCCTGTGCTCCGCGGCGGGAGAGGCCGCAGCAGTGAGGGGCCCATGTACCGCAAAAAAAAAAAAAAATTATAATAATAATAATTTAAGGAATTAAGGATAAACTACACCAATCTGAAACCTTAACATACTGAAACTTGCTATAATATTATTTAATACAAAATAAGACTCTCTAGAAACCCATGCAAAGTGTTTGCTGAAATACTAAATATAAGTCAGTATTTTAGAATTTAAAATGAATTCTAAAGGAATTCTAAGAGAATGTCCAGATGACTTAATAGAGCGCAATGGTTTACATATAGAAAAGATGAGTTCACGATGATTTTCTAACTTGTGAAAAGAGTAAATAAAGGTCAAGCTTTGACCCTAGCTCTTCTGGCTTCTATCCCAGTAGCTTTTCCAATGCTTTATGCTTCTTCACGTTGTCCATGCTTCTAAACCAAAAGACATTTCATGTGTGGTGTAGGACAACAAAGCAGCAAAGTGGAAGGAAAACAGCATTTAGAATCAGACAGACCTGAGTTCGGTGATGGCTCTGCCTGGGTGACCATGGGCAAAGGCCAAACTTGAGTCAGGAGTAAAATGAGTTCACACGGTTGTTATGAGGATTATGTGTTAAAATTTCCAGTATATATCATCGAGTAAGTGCTGAAACATATGCATCAGTAACTATCACTTTTAACTTACACATACTATTGGCCCAGAAGAAGCCTTCATACAAACCCAAGGATTTCCCTAAATGAAACACTCTTTCACTCCCTGGTACTTCCACAGCACAGTTTCAAACACCATTCACCTTCAGAGACACAACAAACCCATATATCACACAAAGACACAGGCGAACACAGACCCATGATCTAAAAACTCAGTGTGGCACCAAAGATGTGACTGTCATCAACAAGTAAGTAAATACCTCATGAAATGTAAACACCCACATTCCAACCGCCATATTATCCCTGTTCTGCTTTTTAACCCCCAAGCCCTTCTCACTAGAGAATGTAGTACCTATTTTACACACTGAGTCAACCTATTATCTGTCTTGCCCACTATAATATTAGCAATGTGAGGCCTTCATTCCAATTTATTTCATAACTGCCAATTCCTAAATGCCAAGTACAGTATCTGGCATCAATAGGCACTCCAACATTTGTTGGATGAATGAATCACCTTATTTAAATGACTTTAGAAGCTATTAGTATATACACCTAAAACAACATCTTGGGATAAGCAGTTCTGTGCTCTTCTGTAAGTAATAATCAGCATAGAATTTTAGAGATAAAAATAATTAATCCAAGATTTATTTTCCTTAGTTCCCTAATATTACCCATGAAGTAGGTCCAAACAGGTGAAGAAACTTGCCCAAGGTTATTCTGCTAGTCAGCAAAAGAGCTCACTTAATAGTCAGGGCTTATGATTTCCAGCTCCGTACCCGTTCCCTAGATCTGATGACATCAGGAAAGTTCACCTTAACAATATTTTTATGCTGAAGACAGCAGTCCAAATCCCTTTAACTTCGTGGTGCCCCTGTCCGAAACTTCTCTAACTATATTCTATCTTTCTCCATATTTTGGGACCAAAACTGCTTGTGATTTTTTTTGGCACCTAAGTTTTATATAAAGATAAAAAATCTTTTAAACTTAAGTATTATTGTAAATAAACTATACCTCAATTTAAAAAAATTTCTTTCATCACAGTTTTTCAAGGCTTAAAAGTAAAATACCACTGTATTATCAATAGTACATGTAATGACATTGCTGTAAATAATAAATGTTCAAATTTTGAAAGAGGCGGACAATTATTTAGGAAAGAATTTCTTTTTACATGTTTACTAAGTATTTCTGAACTAAAACCACGGACCAAGTTGGACTAACTACATTACCAAATCTACAGATAATAAGTATATATAGTAGAAAAACAACTATAGTTTTCAAATTAGTTAAAATTTAGGAATGACTTACCTTTATTTTACAAGCATGTGTGGAAGACTCCAATTTTAGATATTTTTTGTACAAAATAATCTTTTCATGTTCACTAAAAATAAAAAAGATTTAATTTATAAAAAATTTTACACATTATCACTTTTAACAGTTACATTTAAAAATAAAGGTTTCCAGGACAATATTTAAATCCTTGGATTCAGTTTTTCTGGTGAGGCATAAACAGCTGGGACTTCCTACTGAAGTGCACTGACTACAAAGAAAACATCTGCCACTTATCTAATTTAAAAAATTAGATATCAAATGTACACTTATATAGCACAGAGCACACTGTAAAGCTCAATAACATACCCGTTATGTCCAACATGCACGGTATATAAAACACTTCATATTTTGATTCGTATTAAGGAGAGATTAGGTCAGAATCTTTGTAAGAAATCAGAAAAAAAAATCAAGAAGTATAAAAATGGGTTAAGTATGCTGGTACGGCACAGTGTCGGGCTCACGCACTATGTGTAAAGAGTTTCCTACAGGAAAATGTTCAAAGTTCCAGACTGATAGACAACTTAATTTTTGGAAAACTGATCGCTGTGAGTTAAAGAAAACAGACAAGAAACACTTACCAGAACTTCATCTGATCATAGTCTTCCACTAACTAGCTATGATCTTTTACCAACTACTCTCTCTTCCACTAGCTCTCAATTTCCACGTTTATAAAAACAACTAGGCTGATCTAGACTGTCTTTAAGATCCCTAAAGGTCTAAACTTGTATGTTTTTATCTTCTCTCCCCTAGTATCTGGCACCAATGTCAGAGAATCGATAAACATCACAAAAGCTCAAGAAAATAAAACACTACTTAGAAGAACACTTCCACACGCACACGTCACAAACCTGTTATCCAGAACATTACAAACATTCTTGCCCCTACTGGTTCCACAGTACTCCTCTCCCGAGTATACTTCCATATTTCTGGCTGAACTTAAAATGCCAATAGAAACGATTTCTTCACCTCCAGGAGGGTCACATCTCAGGTAAAGGAAGCAGGGGTTTTCATCTTGGCTGTTCACGTTCCTTTTCAAAATCACCAGATGCTGGCTGAAAAGAAAATGAAGAATATTATACAGTCCTCTGAACACTGTCATTAACCCACTTAATGGGCCACAGGGGTTGACATGTTATCCTACTCATTTACATTTGCATTTGGAGACCAAGCGCCTTGCAAAACACTGACGAAATGCTCAATACAGAATTCCTAAGGAAATGATGCTTTAGACATGAGGGCTCTCCACTCTCTTTTCCCTTGACTTCTGTAATACATTCTAAGCGACTTCCTATAATTGCCTGTCCCGTTAATGAAATATATGTACTGGGCAGCTAATGTAAATTAAAAAACAGTTCAGAAGTGGGGGTGGGGCGGGGTGCAGAATGGAATAAAGGACCAAAGTGTGCCATTTTCAGAACTAAGCTGATGAAGATTTTCGACATCTGGATTTTTTTTTAATGCCTATTTTGGTCGACAGGAGGTTTTTGTTTCGGGAAAGGCGGTTCTGATCCCGACAGGGGGCCTCAGGAGCCGACGTGACGGGCACAAGGCGGAAGGGGGTGAAACGCCGAGTCTTCAGGTCACCTGCCCCCTGTCCCCTGCGCCCGACGCTCACGCCGGAGTCGCCTCCTCTTTCCCGCGGGCCCGCCCCCACCCTCTCGCCAACCGGGACCTGCCCCCTCGCCCTCGCCGCCCGCACAGACCCGTCACCGGCTCGGCTCCGGGCCCAGACCCTCTCCCCTCACGGCCCCCGCCTCCTCTCTCGGCTCCCCCAGGAGCGTGGCTGGCACCGAGCACAACCCCAGTCCCCGCCGGCCCGGCGCACCCGGTGGCAGGCGGCGCCAGCAGCTCCTCCCAGTCGGCGTCCTGGGCGCCGAGATCAGATCGGGTGACATGGAGACTCTGGGCCAGGGCTCCACACGCGGCATCCCAGGAAGAGGCCAGCGGCGGGCGGCGGGTCAGTGGCGGATGTACGGTCTCGGTCTCCATCTGGCCACCTACGCGCCAGGCCAGCTCCGGAACCTCTCTTACAGCTCTTTAATTTCCGCCAGACTGAGGGACTGTAAACGGAGAGCGACTTCCGCCTCGTCCGGCTGCAAACCCCAGAGCCGCAGCTTCTCGCCGGGGTGGGGAGAGACCAACTGCCGTAAACGCGCGTGCACACCCCGGCCGGTTTGGGCGGAGGGTTCAAAATCTGCGGCCGGGGAGAGCTGGTGTCCGGCGCATGCGCACTGACAACTTGGTCCAGCTGCTGGGCTGTGCGCAGGCGCGGTGCGGTGCGCGTGGGAACCCAGAGGTGGTTTGACGTTGGCCCCGGAGATGTCGTGTGGATGGTTGGACTTACTCTCCTACACGGTTAGGACAGTACGTCGTGAGGTAGGTGTGATGTCGTGGCTCTCGAGACCTGAAGGACCTCGTCCCGACCCTTGCTGTGTCGCGGACGCCAAGCCTTTCCGCGGACTGCGGTGGGGTGCGGGGGGCTGGGGACGCGGCGGCCGGGCAATGGAGTCGCCTTTTCAGAAAGTCCTCAGCCCGCTCCGCACACGCGCTCTCTCCTCCGAGGGTGTCAGGTGGGTGCCGGTCGTTCGGCTTTAGCTGAGGAGGAGGTTGGGACGCTGTCGCCCTTGGTGTGGGGCCGGGGCGGGTGGCGTGTGAGGAAGGTCTGTGGCCCTGGCGCTTTCGCCCTGTCAGGTGGCCTGGGCCGTCCTCGTGTCCCCCGGGCCGGGTGGAAGGTGGAGAAAGGCCTGGGCCCGAAGCGGGGTGGGGTCTGCTTTCCCGGCTCGGGAAGAGCGAGCAGGACGGCGGCCTCGGGTCTGCGGTGGAGCAGGATGCGAGCTGGACCTGAAAGACCCTGAAGCTTTGGGTCCAGGGAAGTGGGAGCGGGTGGCTCTTTCCAGATACTGCCGGGATAGGAAGGTAGATGGTCCCTCCTCACCACCACTGTCTGTCTGTGCAGATGAGTTTTCCACCTTTTCAAAGAAAAAAGGGAGTTAGAATATAGAAAAGTGGAATGTCAGAGTTCCAAAGGCCTTGAGTGTAAAGGGCCTAATTTGCAAAGGTGTTTTAATACTGCCGACGCATTCTCGGTTGTCTACATCAGTATTTTCGTCTTATAGTTCCTGCTTCCTATATATTAACTTGAATTCACAGGACCATCTCTGGACAGCCCAAAGAAAATAGGCTTTTCTTCAGAAACACCCATCTCCACTTTAAGGAGCCAGGTCAATACTATCACCTGGACTCTGACTTTCTTGAGTAAGAGGCTGAATGACCGAGAGTCGGGAAACTAGACTCCCACTGTCTCCCCCTTTTTTTCTGCACAGCCAGTAAATCACCAAATCTTGGTTTTCTTAGAGGAAACCTGTTCTTTCTTCATCTCCGCTTCTGTTTTCAAGCACTAGCTTTCATTTGAACAGTTCCGGGAGCTTCTTTACTGTCATTGGCCTTCGTTCTCAACCACTTCCACTCCATCCTCTGCACTGCCCTCTCCCTCCTTCTGGTGCTTGCTACCCCCGCCCGCCTCCCTGCCCTCCCATCTCCCCCACCTTTGCGCAGGCTTTTCCCTCTGGAATGCCTGTTCTTTTGGAACAGGGAAAATCCTGTTCATCGTTCAAAATGAAGCAGATCTCCACTCTGCTACAGAATTAAACTCATTCCTCTGTACTACTCTTATACTCGTAATTTATGTCAAAGAAATACCCAAAGTGGACAGTAAAAGCAGATTTTATTCAGAACTATATAATAGGGGAAAAGACCTTAGTGTAGGACCAGGCTCAATTCTGAATACAGCATGGACAAGTGAGAATTTAAAGCCAAGGAGCAGGGTAGGGGGGTCAGTGGATAGAAAATTACTAATGAGAAACCTCAAGGGTCAAGATGATTGTGCCTGAACCTACCTAACAGAATCCTTGCTGGTGAGAGGCCAGGGTTATTAGACATCACCCAGGGGATGATGGAAGATGAGGAACCTGATTAACTATCAAGAGTGGTCCGATATGGAGGATGGGGGATTTGGAATTAAAATAAGTTGACTAAATTGACTTAGCAGTGTTCTTGCTGAAACTAGATTTTACAAGGAAATGCCCAGATGAGCCTAGGAGAAGGTTCAGGAGCCTGAATAAAGTTCGGCCAAGCAAGAATCTTTGTCAGGTACTATGATTCTCTTATGGTTTCAGACTTTATCAGTTTACATATTTGTGTTCCCTACTATGTAGGCTTGCTGAGATTAGTAATTATTTTACGCCTGGTAAAGGTGTTGAGTACAGGTTTGTTGTATGGAATTGGTAGATTGGTGAGAGTTGGCTGGCAGCTTTATCACAAAATAAGAGATGCAGAAAAAGGCAAAAATAGTAAATTCAAGCTTATGCTTTTTTCTTCACAGCCAGGGTGGTGGTGGTTCAGAACTGACCTCACTCTTAATATGATAAATTGCTCTCATCATGAATTGCAACTGATTTTTTGGCCCTATTTTTCCCCTTGAAATAAATCATAAAATATATGTTGGAAACTTAGCACCAATATCACTAGGATGTACTATGCAATTCTTTCACTCACTTATTTTAAAGTTTATTACAGCTTAATGTGCAAGAACTCAATATGCTCTTTAGAGGCATATTTCCAATCTGTTTTCAGAATATGAACCAATGCATATTTGAAAGGTACATTTTAGAAAGAAGTGACTTGTGGTATTAATTTTCTTGGGCCCATTCATTTAGTAATATGACAGTTGAGGTGTGGACCATCTTAATTTTAAGTAGAATGAGTTCTTACTGTATTTGCCCTGCCTTTTACCCAGGAGTATACTTCCCAGCAAGGTGGTTACAGGAACTTAACTTTCCTCCCAGCTGGTACCACTTGAGTTGTACCTCTCCTCCTCCCTTCCTGTTCTTTCTGGCCCTGTGGTTGCCTGGAGTTCCTTCTCACCCTGCCCCGATGCTGGACCTGCAGTTAAGTTAGAAGTGGGAAAGAAAGAGTAACCTTCCTACCCCTTTTTCCCCAACTTCATTGATAGCTGCTCGCCACCGCCACGTCATTTATAACCTCTGTTTTGGTTAGTCCAACATTGCTGGACTGTATACAGTTTTCAGTACAGCCTGGCTTCAGCCTTTCTGAAGACGTGTAGAAATTATGGGGAAGCTCTTGATGTGTAGCTGAATCTGCCTACATCCATGATTATCACCCGTGTGACACCTTCTTATCCTAAAGCTGTTTATATAGTAAAGGGTTAACTTGTTAAGCACGGGATGTTCAAAACTTGCCCACATTCCAAAGAAAGACCTGGTTCCTCACTAACTCCTGTCTTATCCTCTAAGCTGCTGGAATATCTGCTTAATAAAATTGTCTTTTTAACTATGGGCCTCAGCCCCACCAGCTAGGTTATGCTAACAGCGTGGTGTGTGGTGAGGGCTATACTCTTCATTTTTTTTATATAAATTTATTTACTTATTTTTGGCTGCTTTAGGTCTTTGTTGCTGGGCACGGGCTTTCTCTAGTTGTGGCGAGTGGGAGCTACTCTTCGTTGTGGCATGTGGGCTTCTCATTGCGGTGGCTTCTCGTTGCGAAGCATGGGCTCTAGGGCACATGGGCTTCAGTAGTTGTGGCACGTGGGCTCAGTAGTTGTGGCGCATGGGCTTAGTTGCTCCGCAGCATGTGGCAACTTCCCGTACCTAGGCTTGAACCTGTGTCCCCTGCATGGGCAGGTGGATTCTTAGCCACTGCGCCATCAGGGAAGCCTATACTCTTTTAGTTTGGCCTCTGAAGAAGGTAAAGACTAAGAAACTAATGTCAGCACATTGGTGCTCCATGCCTACCTGATTGACCCCCAATAGAAACCTTGAACACCAAGACTCAGGTGAGCTTCCTTGGTTGGCACATGCTGTCACACGTCATTGCTGGATGCTGTACCTGGTTTCTCTTGGACTCTGCTCCATGTGCCTTTGCTTTGCTAATTTTAGTCTGTATCCTTTCCTGTTTAAGAATCTGTTATAAGGCACAAACAGTAACAAGACGTGAAGAATTGCGCATTCTTCCATTAGTAACAGCAGTTAATTGTAAGTGGGGAAAGTAGTAGAGTTTTATTAGGAGACAGTGTGTACAGCTTTAAAAAAGAACCCTGCACTACTGTTACATGCTTTTCTTGCTTCGCTGTCTCTGCCCACTGTCACTACCCTAGAGTCTTAGTAAAGAGAAGAATTAAAATTGGGGAAAAGATTTCTTTAAAGATACAAATATAGGTATTGGGGGTAAGGTAGGTAGTAATCACATAACCATGTTTTACTGCTAACCGTACATGCCTTATAACAGATTCTTAAATGCTCTGGGTTTCAGAACCTCTTTATACCCTTAAACTGTTGAAAACTGCAAAGATCTTTTGTTTAAGTGGGTTTTATCTTCTACATTAAAAAAAATTAACAACCTTATTCTGCTTGGATCTACAGCAACGTACACTAATGTGAACGAATCCAGAAAAGAGTCGCTTGAAAAGTAACCAGCATGAATAACATGGTATCATCTATGGAAAAATCCACTCCAGCTTCAGAATACCTGGCTTAAAAAGAACTTTCATAATGGACCCATTTCATGGGATTGTTTTATCCTGCATTCTTGGGGTCTTAGACTGCTTACCTAGAGTTTTAATCTATGTGAACTAACTCTTCTTTTGGTAAGTTAAGAATGAAACAAAATAGTATCCAAGCTAAATCAACTATTGGATGTGTTTTATTATTATTATTTATTTTGTGTGTGTGTGGTACGCGGGCCTCTCACTGTTGTGGCCTCTCCCATTGCAGAGCACAGGCTCCGGACGCGCAGGCTCAGCGGCCATGGCTCACGGACCCAGCCGCTCCGCGGCATGTGGGATCTTCCCGGACCGGGGCACGAACCCGTGTCCCCTGCATCGGCAGGCGGACTCTCAACCACTGTGCCACCAGGGAAGCCCTGGATGTGTTTTATTATTTTTTGTTATGTTTTTGTGACACTTGTACATTGTG